TGTTCCCATTGAGGATACCAGATTCGTTGGCATGGTAGGTGAAGGGTTGGGGGCCCATGAGTTGGCACTAGATTGGTAGGGAGGTGAGTGAAGAGCATGAGGTGTCACAGATACATGTGTGTGTGTATGTCTGTGTGTGTCATTCATTATTTTTACATTTTAGCCACAGATTGTGAGGTAACCTGTACACCCAGCAAGAAAATACAAATAAAATACTGCAAATGCTAAAGATCTGAAATAAAACAGAACGGCTGGAGAAACTCAGCAGATCTGGCAACATTTGTGGAGAGAGAAACAGAGTTAATGCTCTGAGTCCAATACCTAACATCAACTCAATCATTTGGAACTATATCAGACTTAAAACATGAACCTGCTGTGTTTATCCAGCAGTTTATTTTTAATCCACACCCAGCATCCTCCTTAGTTGCTAAAATTTACTTCTGACTTCTAATCCAGCTCAGTTCCCCCCACTACTAGACTGAAAATCCAACATTGTGAATCAGCCATTTTTAAAAATCGGGTTCAGAGCAGGGAACTTTCCATACCCCCATTCCAAAGTGAAAATTCAGGCCCAAGTACTTTAGGCCCTAGCACCAAAACAAACAATGTTCTCATGCAAAAAGACTAAACTCCAATTCATCATAATCACATAAACATTGAATCTGACATTTTCAGAGGAAAGGTATTTGAATCCATGCCGACTCTCTGCAGGACAATCCATTCGGCCCCATTCTCCCATTCTACACATTACTGCAGCAAACTAATTTCCCTCAAGCATCTATTTAATTTCCTTTTGGATCAGGTGCTGGGGAATGAGGAGGATCAAATGAACCATGTGTGAACTTGGGTAATGGCAATATAGGGTCACTAGAGAAAGGGTTGGCCCACTCAAGGACAAAGGAGGGAATTTACGCGAGGAGTCAGAGAAAATGAGTGAGATTCTTAATGAGTACTTTGCATCGGTATTCACCGAGGAGAGGGACATGACAGATGTTGAGGTTAGGGATAGATGTTTGATTACTCTAGTTCAAGTCAGCATAAGGAGGGGGCGGAAGTGTTGGGTATTCTAAAAGGTGGACAAGTCCCCAGGTCCGGATGGGAAGCGAGAGAGGAAATAGCTGGGGCCTTATTAGATATCTTTGCAGCGTCCTTGAGCACGGGTGAGGTCCCAGAGGACTGGAGAATTGCTAATGTTGTCCCCTTGTTTAAGAAGGGTAGCAAGGATAATCCAGGTAATTACAGACCGGTGAGCCTGACGTCAGTGGTGGGGAAGCTCTGGAGAAGATACTGAGGGATGGGATCTATTTACATTTGGAAGAAAATGGGCTTATTGGTGATAGGCAGCATGGATAGGCAGCAAGGAAGGTCATGTCTTACCAACTTGATAGAATTCTTTGAGGAAGTGACAAAGTTGATAGATGAGGGAAGGGCTGTAGATGTATATATATGGCTATACATGGACTTCAGTAAGGCGTTTGATAAGGTTCCCCATGGTAGGCTGATGGAGAAAGTGAAGTCGCATGGGGTCCAGGGTGTACTAGCTAGATGGATAGAGAACTGGCTGGGCAACAGGAGACAGAGAGTTGCAGTGGAAGGGAGTTTCTCAAAATGGAGAACTGTGACCAGTGGTGTTCCACAGGGATCTGTGTTGGGACCACTGTTGTTTGTGATATACATAAATGATCTGGAGGAAGGTATAGATGGTCTGATTAGCAAGTTTGCAGATGACACTAAGATTGGTGGAGTAGCACATAGTGAAGGGAACTGTCGGAGAATGCAGCAGAATATAGATAGATTGGAGAGTTGGGCGGAGAAATAGCAGACGGTGTTCAATCCAGGCAAATGCGAGATGATGCATTTTGGAAGATCCAATTCAAGAGCAAACTATACGGTAAATGGAAAAGCCCTGGGGAAAATTGATGCACAGAGAGATCTGGGTGTTCAGGTCCATTATACCCTGAAGGTGGCAACGCAGGTCGATAGAGTGGTCAAGAAGGCATATGGCATGCTTTCATTCATCGGACGGGGTATTGAGTACAAGAGTTGGCAGGTCATGTTACCGTTGTATAGGACTTTGGTTCGACCATATTTGGAATACTGCGTACAGTTCTGGTCACCACATTACCAAAAGGATGTCGATGCTTTGGAGAGGGTGCAGAGGATGTTGCCTGGTATGGAGGGCACTAGCTATGAAGAGAGGTTGAGTAGATTAGGATTATTTACATTAGAAAGACAGAGGTTGAGGTCTACAAAATCATGAGAGATATAGACAGGGTGGATAGCAAGAAGCTCTTTCCCAGAGTGGGGGACTCAATTACTAGGGGTCACGATTTCAAGGTGATAGGGGAAAAGTTTAAGGGAGCTATGCGTGGAAAGTTCTTTACGCAGAGGATGGTGGGTGTCTGGAACGCGTTGCCAGCGGAGGTGGTAGATGCAGGCAAGATAGCGTCATTTAAGATGTATCTAGACAGATACATGAATGGACAGGGAGCAGAGGTATACAGATCCTTGGAAAATAGGCGACAGGTTTAGATAGAGGATCTGGATCGGCACAGGCTTGGAGGGCCGAAGGGCCTGTTCTTGTGCTGTAATTTTCTTTGTTCTTTGTTCTTTCCTTCATGATGATATTCAGAATGCAGAAGAGTAATGAATAATCTGGAGTAAAATTTCTAAACTGGAAGAGAGCTAATTTCAACGGGATGAGACGGGATCTAAAGTTTACAATACTCCAGTCTTCCAGCACCTCAGTGCAGGAATTATGGCTAATGCCCCAACAATTTCTGCCCTCACTTCCTTCAAAATCTTTTGATGCATCTCTTTTGGTCTTGCTGCCTCTTCAACATTTAAGTGGCAACAATTTATTGCACCTGTTCCATTCTGTACCTCTAGCCAAATTAACTCTGTCCTTGAACACCCGGAGATATCCTTGTTCTCCAGCACTGCAAGCCTCTTTAACCAATACTGCTACTCCTCCTTTATCTCCTTTTCTATCTTTCCTGAACAATTGATACGCAGGAATATTTAACATACAGTCCTATCCTTACTTGAAGCAGATCTCCATCACTGCCACAACATCAGAACTGCACGTTGCACATCTGCATCTGGAACCCCCACCAAATTTATTTTCTATATCCTACACGAACGTTAACTCTGTTTTTGACTTTCTTTCTCCCTTACACCAACATCACTTATTAACTTACCATTTTCTATACTAGTGGCAACTGTATCCCTAAGAAGTTCATTTAAAGCCCTCCCCATGGCACTAGTAAAGCTCCCATAAGGACCTCAGGCCCAGTTTTGTTCAGGTGTAACCCATAAACTTGTAGAGGTACTATCTTTCCCAGAGTCAGCCTCAGTGTCCCAGGTTTCTAAAGCCTTCCCTCCTGCACCATCTTTCCAGCTATGCATTCATCTTTCTTATCCAGATATTTCTGTACTTGCACGTGACACTGGAGATTACTATTTTTGTGGTCTCAGAGTATGGTGAGGACTTGAATGGTTGATCTTACTCCTTTGAGATCTTAAGCTGTTCTCTCACCAAGTCTATATGATATCACCATGGTCAGTGATGCACAAGGCGCTCCTCAGTGTTAACCTTTTCAGAATTTTAAACTCTTATACAACAATGCCTGCTTGTTTTACTGCCCAATCTGAACCGTCTCCTATTTTACAGGGACCCATAAGTCATCCCACCCATAAGCTTGTTGAATGTCCACTTAAGTATCTTACGCCGCTGATTCATGGCAATGGTGTGAAACTTTCACTGTATTTTGTATTGAATACATGTGAAAATAAATGATTCAACTCAGTAAAATCATCCTGCCTCTAGCGGGGTGGCACATGCTAGGTTGGTGGTCTAGCATGTTTTACTGGATAGCTAGTAATTGCTCAAGAGCAGTGGGGGACAGGTGTTGGGTGTCTACTGTGATCATCAGAATCAATCATCCCAAAGTCATACCCACGCCTTTAATCTTCTGTCTGCCTAAATTTTAAATGGCAATGCATCATGTCAAATTCCCTCAGAATTTTTTATGTTTCAATAAGATCACCTCTCATTCTTCTAAATTCCAGTAAGTATCAAATTTGTTTAATTTTCTGACCACTTCATGCCTCTTAGAACAAATGTTTGGGTAATTTTCCTCCCTTCTGTTGCACTGCAGCATCCAAAACTGAGACTCCAGTTCATTAGCCATGAGGTGACGTTTGTCAAACCACAGACATCCATTGCAAATGTAGTCATTGTGAATAACACTGGTGTTCATCATATAATGGAAAGAGATCACCTGGTTTGTCATTTCCATTGTATGTTATTTAACTAATTAAGTTTTAGAGTTTTGAAGTGAATTGTTTAAATATAATTGTTATATATCAAGCAACTTCTTTTACCACAACCTCACTGAATTTTCACAATCACTGAAATTCCCTTGTATCTTGCTGAAATTTACACTCATCTAAAACTGCTCTATGCCAATGATCATACAATCCCTACAGTGTGGAAACAGGCCCTTTGGCCCAACAAGTCCAAACTGACCCTTGGAGCATCCTACCCAGACCCATCCCCTTATAATCACCTAATCTACACATCCCTGAACACTATGGGCAATTTCGCATGGTCTATCCACCTAGCTTGCACATCTTTGGACTGTGGGAGGAAACCAGAGCACCCAGAGGAAATCCACACAGACACTGGGAGAATGTGCAAACTCCACACAGACAGTCGCCCAGGGGTGGAATTGAACCCAGGTTCCTAGCGCCGTGAGGCAGCAGTGCTAACCACTGAGCCACTGTGCCACTTCTTCTTTATTAATTTACATACTAGTGTACTTACCTCATGAATATTTTGAATTTCCCACCTCTTAGTTGCCAGGGGTGAGGTGGTGGGGAGTAATCAAGATAAAGGGGAGTGATGGAAAGGATGGTGTTGTCAGGAGGGAGCTGGATAGTTACCTTCTGAATTTCAGTCACTCCATGATATTAGAAACTGTAGATAATGTATTTACCTGGGATTGCCTCCCTGGGCTCCAGCTGGCAAGGGCGCTGTTTGCAGGGTTTGGTATCTTTGGCCATAGTTGTCCAGTTAACCTGTGATTAATATCAAATACATTCATGTAAATCTTCCAAGTGCAGCAACTATTACACAGTCATAAAATTAAATTGCATTCCCTGTTTGAACATTGTGGTATAGATTGAAATAGATTTTGCAGTTGGGACCATTCAAAACAGTAGGTCACACAATGACACCTTCAGAAGTACAAGTTGGCACAAGATTCCAGCATTAAGACATAACCAGCCTTCTGAACCAGTAGTGTTATCCACTCTGTTTCTCACTCGCTGGGGCATTTTCAGGTTGGAAAAGTTAAAAAAGTTAATTTGGATCTCAGTCTGAAGATGACTTAGACCTCAAGACCCCTTTTCCTTGTAATGTAATTTATTTAGTAAACTACCACACAGCTCATACAACTCCTTGGTACCAACTGCACGTCCTTCACAAAAAACAAAACAACTTATTTGGACATGTTCCAGGGGAGTTGGGATTTGAACCCAGCCCAACCCATACTTCCACCTTTACAAAGTCATTGGATAAAGTTTCTTTTCAAATACTGGACAAATACACCCTGTATCTGTAGTTTCCAATATCACCAATGTTTATACAGAAAGGCACATTTAACTATCTTTGTTATTTTCTGGCCTTCCTAGTCCAATGAACAGCATTTATCATTCCCTCCCACAAAGGAAACTATAAACCCTGATGTACTCTCGTGGGTATGTAGGAATGCAGAGCTGAGGTTAAAATCAGATCAGCCATGATGTTATCAAACAGTGGAGAAGGCTAGAAGGGTCAAGTGGGCTATTCCTGTTCCTTAGACTATTCAAATATCCATCTGGAGACTGACAAACGAAGCATTACTGAAAAAGTCTAGTTTCATACTTCAATGCTAGTCAAGGCTATAAACCCAAGTACACATTTTTCTGAATGTAATTTCTTTAGTGTTGCAATTGCTGTCAAGACTTTCTTAACAGTGGTCTGTTTCATCATCATACTCAACCCAATAGACTATAACCAGTGCTAGTTATAATGTAAGTGCACAACTGGTTTAACTGTTCAATCAAACTTCTTAACTGTAGTTTTTCCAGATTGATCCAAAGTCACTTCTGACTTATTCTGCTTACTAAGACCATAAGATTAAGGATCAGAAGAGGTCATTCATCCCAATGAGTCTGCTTCACCATTCGATGAAATAATGGCAGATCTGACCTCCCATCCTCAACTCCACTTTTCTGCCTAATCCCCCAAACCCTTGATTCCCTTTACTGATTGAAAACCTGTCAATCTCAGCCTAGAGTATACTTACTTAATGACCCAGCTGCAATAGCCCTCCGTGTAAAAGAATTGCAGATTCACTACTCTTTGAGAGAATAATTTTTTTGTCATCTCTGTCTTAACCTGTTATGCTGAGATCATGCCTTGTGGTTCTAGACTCTCTCACAAGGGGAAGTAACCTTTCTGTAACAACCTTGTCAAGCCCCCCACAAATGTGTTTCAATAAGAACGCCTCTCATTCTTCTAACCTGCAATGAGTACAGGCTCGCCTATTCAACTTCTCATAAGAGAATCTTTCAAACTCAGCATCAGCCTAGTAAACCTACTTTGGTCTATTTCTAATGTTATTATATCATTTCTTAGATAAGGGGCCCAAAACTGTTCACATATTCCAGCTGTAGTCTGGCTAGTGCTTTCTACAGCTTTCACAAGACTTCCCATTCTCTCTGAAACAAAGGCAAACATTTCATTTGCCTTTCTTAATACCTGTTGAACTTGTATGCTAGCTTTTTGTGATTCATGCACAAGGACTCCAAAATTTGTGTGTGCTGCAGCTTTCTACAGTCTTCCTCGATTTAAATAATATTCAACTCCTCTATTCTTCTTGCCAAAGTGCAAAACCTCATTTTCCCACATTTTATCCCATAGGCCAAGTTTTTGCCCACTCAATTAATCTGTCTACATCCCTCTGTATAGTCATCCTCACCATTTGCCTACCCATCTACTCTTATGCCATCCACAAACTTGGCTAGAGTACATACAACATATATTAATGACTTAGATGTGTGAAAGTAAATTTGATCCCAGCACTGAAGCCTGTGGCACACCATTAATTACAGATTACCATCTTGAAAATACCTTTTCCAATTCTCTGTCTTTCATTAGTTAGACAATTCTCTATCTATGGTAATATACCACCACACTAGATTCTTATCTAATTAAGTTGCCTACTGTGCCATACGTTGTCAAAAGCCTTTGGGAAATCCAAATATATCCAATGGTTCCCCTTTATCTATCCTGCTTGTTATTGTAGTCATTATAATGAGGTCAGCCAGGTGGGTAGAATGAGTTCCCTGATTGGAGCTGTTATCTGGTCCAATCAGGGTGTCCTGGCTGACAGACTAAACAGGTGTGTCAGAAATTGTGTTCACTCAGAGCTGGCTTTGAGCAAGCTGGCTCAGTATCAAGGACTGCCCACGTGTAAATAAAAGGTGACTTGGTGTTGGGATACTAGCCTTGTGAAGTTATTTTTGTGGCAACAAATAAAAAGTGCACTTTTGAAGAAATTCACTTGCAAGAATCACCTTTGAGTTGGGGTAAGCATTTTTGGCATCATGCTGTTATTTGGAAAGCTTGATGTGTTTGTTACTGCCAAAGACTGTGCCCAGTATGTGGAAAGAGGGTATTATTTTTCCCAGAAAAATGACATCAGAATGGATGAAAAGCAACAAGTAATTCTCCTGCTTTCCTGCTCCTCTGATGCTGCCTGGCCTGCTGTGTTCATCCAGCTCTACACCTTGTTATCTCAGACTCCAACATCGGCAGTTCCTACTATCTCTAAGTAATTCTCCTGACAGCTTGTGGACCTGCAGCTTTTTCAGTTATTAGGAGCCTAACTTTCCCTGAGGCACCAGATACTAAAACCTTTCAAGAGTTAATGGATTTAGTTATGGAATATTATGACACCAATCCTCCTCTAATTCTGACATGCTATTTGGTTTTATTTGGCAATTTGAGAAGTGGGGAATCTGTATCAGGATTTTAGATGAGGTTAAGATGACTGGCAGAGGCACCTGACTTTGATTTAACCCTTAATGACATGCTGAGGGACTGTTTGGTATGTTGGATTAATGATATAACCATGTAAAAGTGCCTACTAGCTGAAGCCCAACTGGACTTCAAACAGGCACTACAACTGGCTTTATCATTGGAAAATGTGGCAAATGGAGCACATGAGTTGCAGGGTATTCCAATGTAAGTGGACACTCTTGCCAGTCCAATTGAGCTTGGGGAACACCACTAGAGTGAAGGCAATTGCAGACGTACTCTAGGTCCAAAGCAAAGCCTTGGCCAAATTCCCTTCGTGTTCTGGGAGGGCAAGCCATTGTAGTGCTGCTAGTATGCGGTTTCAAGACAGCAGAAGAGTTCCAGACGTAAATGGAGTAAGAACTCATAGGCTGGTACCCTGTTACCTTTTTTTACATGTGGAAAGTCCTTGACACTGATCCAGCTTTCAGAGTGAACAAACTCTCAAACTCCTGTTTATATCTGTCAGCCAGGGCTCCCTGATTGGACCAGATTAACAGCCCCAGTCAGTGAACTCACATTCTATGATGTCCACCTGGCTGATCTCATCACGTTCACTCCAGTTTCCACCTCAAAATTTCAAATAAATTTGTCAGTCATGATTCCCTCTTTGAGAAGTCATGCTGATTCTGCTCCATGATATTGTGTTTTTAAATGGTCTTCTATTATATCCCTGAACATTTTCCCAATATCAGATGTCAAGCTAACTAGCCTATTGTTACTTGTATTTATTGCCTTCCCTTTTTTGAATTGGCAGTTTTCCAATTGTGGCCAGATGGCCCCGGGCCTGAACAGCTAGGCCTGAAACCAGAATTGTCAATCTTTGAGCAACTAGGCCTGATGGGACTTTCAAGATAGGTGAAGAACAAAGCATCCACATGAGACAACGATAGGCAAAGATAAGAACAAATACAAAAACCCAGCAACTGTGGAGAGAAATTGGAATTAATGTTTCAGGTCTAATGACCCTTCTTCAGACCTCCAAGCAAGGTCAAGCCCAGACTCCTTGTGGAAAAACAAGGCTGGTCTGTGTATTCAATTAGTGAGCAGATTCGCTAGAATGTCAGGTTCCCACCAGGACCATGTATAGGGAGGGGAAAATGCCCTTGACACCTTGGGTTAAGGGTAGCCCCAGTGTCTTCCTTACATGACCTTGGCCTGGAAAATCAATTGGCCGAGGGCAAGAAAACATTCTGGAAGGATGTAGCAGGGAGGGTTATGAAGAGACACATGCTGGCCATTCCCTCAGTTAAGACTCAACCTGGCCCAGCATGCAATTTCTCTCCCTGGAGCGAGAGAAAAAGAGAACCAAGTGCGTTACCAACTTTCGCCGAATTCATCAGTGCCACCTACACCACCTGGTCAAGTTTAACTGCATGGATAGTACCTGGTCTCAGTCTGATAGCTGGTAAGGCTTAGAAAAGGGTTGTGAAAAAAGAACTTAACGTTACGATTGGTAGAATCATTAATGTAAGAATTGGTATTTCTTTATCACAAAAGAGCAGGGTTCTATATAATACTTAGCCATACAGCCCCTTTTATGACTTCAGTGTATTTTGCCTATAAAATTGCCATGAATTGCGAGTTGAGTCTGACTCTTTTGTTCTTCTCACAAGTATAATGCCCAGGTAAATTTAGTTTACATAGAGACTGGTCGAAATGACCAAACCCAATCATCTGACTTTTCCAGAATCTAAGGCTTCTTGGAAGATTACTGCCAGTGCACTTATCTCCCTGCTGTCCTAAGAAAAAACCCATCGAGTCCAGGGAACTTTAACCCCATTAGTGACAGTTACAGCAACTGTTTCCTTTCCCCTTTTTCCTCTTGATAATTTAATATTTCTGTAAGTCTACTAGTGTGTCTAATGAAGACTGATACAAAATACTTATTCAATTCTTCTGCCACTTACTGGCTCCCCATTATTTCCCCAGCGATATTCTCTAAAGGGGCCTG